TGCCCCCGGACGCAGGGGCGGGGCGGGCCGGCGGGGGGCGCTGGGGAAGACCCCTCCCCCGCCGCAGGCCTCTTGCCCCGCCGGGGAGCCCCTATTTGAGCCAGTCCCAGATGTCCTCCCCCTCCCACCCCCACCTTCACAGAGCCCCTGCCACAGCCCCCGGGCGAGGACCCAGGGTCCACTCCGAGGTCCTGAGGTCGGGACAGTCTCCTCCGGCGCCTGCGGCTCCACGGCTCAAGGGCGCCACCTGAAGGCTGAGAGGAAGCCTCGGCGAGCCCCCTCCCCACCCATCTGCTCTTTTTTCTCTCCGGGACCGCGGAGTGCACCGCCCAAGAGGGCTGTTCTCTTGGGGCATCGCCAAGGGTCACACACGCCCTCGCCTCCTTCCGAGGCCCGGCTGCGGCGCCTTCTTCCGAGGCCCGGCTGCGGCGCCTCCTCCCTCGACGTCTCCAAGACGCCCTCACACACTCGCTGTCCCCAGGGCCCTTCCATTTGGGCTCTCCAGGATGGCCCCTATCTGTGTGACTGACCTTATCTCTGACAGTGGGGGGCTTCTGTTTCTGGGCCAGCCCCTCCATCAGGCTGGCGGCACAACCGGGCTCTTGTCTGATCTCCTAGAGTTCAGCAGGTGGTGAGTAGGGATGCCTTTCACTGTTTCTTTCCTTTACGGGGTCGAGGGTAGGTGAATTAAGGGCAGTGCCTGGGGCACAAACTTCAAGGAGATATTTCCTCTTTGGGGGGCCCAGCTGAGTTCAGAGAGAGGTTTGGTCTGAAGATGGTGGAGTTTCCAGGAAGACTCGGTGGCCACCTCTGAGTCTTAGTGTCCACCTCTGTCTATGGGAGGCCAGCAGAGGTCAGTCACCCTGAGGGACAGGCAAATGAGAATGCTCTGTCCTGCCTCCTCAGCCGTGGTCAGAGCTCGGCCTGTCCTCCTCCAAAGGCCTGTGCCATCCTCACCAGCCAGAAGACTGGAAGTCACCCTGAATGCTGGGTCCCTGTACCTTCCAGACCAGCATAGCACAGTCGGAGGCAGGAGCTCCCAGCCCTCCAGAGGCC